TAGGCAGCATCTATGGAAAGCTATACTTAATTTAAACAAAGGGAAACATTCAGTTATCGGGTTCCCACATAAAACTTACAATCAACAAAAGTATCTTCTAACAAGTCACAAGGTTCAGAAACCTAGTGCTGTTTCCATCTTAGGACAAACATTGAGAATGTAGGAACATTTTAACTCTAAAGCAGAATGGAAAATGATATTTCAGTCTAATCTGCCTATGTCAAGAGCATTAGTTTGGCTTGCCATAGTCTGATGCATATAGGTGTATTTAGCATCTCACAGAACTTTGAAGCCACGGATGTCAAGATCCAGAATCTTATCATGCTATGCAAATGCAATGTCATCATATAGTTAGTCAATCTAATAATATGGAACTGGTGCTATTACTCATGAAATCCATTACATATTTGCACTCCATGCATGGGAGGGAACAGGAAACTCGCAGAAGGCAAGATTTTGTTAGATGGTGGTGGGCAAAGGAAACCAAGTACAGATGAATGAAGCAAGCGGAGTATATCACAAGGACTATGACAGTACTTGAAAGCAGGCGTTCGTGATGTCTGTCGATCTCTTGTAACTTATAGAGACTAAGATTATTCTGGAACAATCATGAAAATTTGTAGATTCCCTTACAATGAGGTATCTGTCTTGACGGAAGCTTGTTTTTAAGTAATGAAAAGTCTTAACTCACCTAAGTTTCCTAAACAGTTGGGATCATACAACAAACATACATACTGGTAGATCAAGTTGAAGTTTTGACCAGATTAAAGAAGCTAGAATGTCCAGTGTAGACGGTTAGCTGATAAAGAAAGTCCAACTAAGTATGATTACTAGCGCAATTGCAGCTGCTATAGACCAGTTAATAAGGATCTCAATATTTAGCCTATTACCATGGACTAGAAGAGTTTTGTATACCAGGACACATCAGGTTTCTGACTTTCGTGTAATAACTCCTCTATGCAAACTCGCCTCAACACCCATGCCAGCAATTCTTTTTCTAATAAGCTGAAGGCAGGATTTGAAGATTTTAAACTTTGATGGAAAAACTCTTAGCTACAAGAAGATGCGTAAGAAACCTCAATTTCTTCCGATGCATTTTTAACACAAGTTAAAGCAAATGCAACTTATTTATGACAAAACTTCAGATATACATGAACAAGGTATAATGAAGCCAATGAATGTGAGCCAGTAAAAGGAGTTCCAAAAGTTCCACAAGGGCAAAGTATGATCATATCACCGGCCAAACCGCTGTGATCTGAAATTTCTTCTGGACATGACTATTATGATAATGGAGTGTAATTGAAACTTGTACCGTACTTTGACAGCAAGGAATTTGAAAAAGAATTAATTCAATATATTTTAGTATATCGGTAATTGATACAGCAAGTACTGACTAAAAATAATCAGAAAGAACACTAGCTACAAAATTGGACTCTGTATCAATCCATAATGTTCCTAGACTCCGGCAGGAATCCTAAAACTAACTGATATTGCTGTGTAGTGCTTGGCGGGATCGTAAGGGAATTTGCAATGATGCTTCAGTAGCATGATCAAGTCCAGCCTCTCAGTGGAGCTTATTACGCCGTTACTTTGTTCTAAATCCAGTTTCTGCTCTTCACTGATTTGAGATACAATTTCATCCTCAATCTCCCTTCATCTCCTTCAGACCAATAAGATATTGAACAATCTTCGATGCAAAGCTCCACTCATCAGAGACATAGCCACAAATGACCTCATCATCATCAGTTTCAGATACTACCAGTATAGACTCAATCCCATTAATATCTTCAACCTCGATAATTTCTTCAACATCATCATCACCATCAACCAATCCTTCCATAAACGCATGATTCAGCAACATCTCAGCTGTCAACCTATACATGGCCTTCTTCACAAAACAGCCTTTCAGAAAATCCTTTGCCTCCTTAGACAATTCACTAGGAATCTGAGGCAATTCATTCTTGATCCTTTTCAGAATATCCTCAGCATTCGGCTCCTCTTTTGCATCCCATAGGGGTTTTCCCGTCAACATCTCTAAGACAATACATCCGAGAGCCCAATATCGCTAGGTTGCTCTTGTACACCATCTCCCACAACCTCAGGTGACAAATAGGTAGGCGTTCCCCTCCAGTAAGGCTCTAATTTCCTCTTCTTACACTGTTTAACCCTCTTAGCCAACCCAAAATCACCTATCTTTGCCCTGAATCCAGCTCTCCCACCTCCAGCATTTGTGCACAAGCAAAATATTCTCAGGCTTCAAATCACAATGAACATAACCAATCTCATGAATGAAATTCAACCCTTTGAGGATAGACCTAGTATAACACCTTACCTCAAATTCAGGCAATCCCTTGCCCCCTGATTTCTTGATCTTTTCGGCTAGGGTTCCACCTGAGCCATATTCGAGCAACAAATTAAAAACCATGACACCATTCACCCCCGTGGTAGTCTCTTCACCAAAGCATTGAATTATGTTAGGACAACCTTTGACATTACTCAAAACTTCGCGTTCTTTCTGAATTGAACCTGAAACAGAAACCTCAGCTGATTTCACAGCCATAACCGATGGCAAACAACTATATTTTGATCTGGGCTTCTTCAAAGTTGCTAAATAGACAGACCCAAAGCTTCCTTTCCCTAGCATTGCACCTCTTTTCCATGCCACCCCATCTCCATATTTGTTCTCCAACATGATGATCCTCTGCTGCGCAAGATTTCCTTCAACCTTCTTCTTCTTTGTTAGTAGTATTTCTTTCCTCCATTCGTTTGCTTCACTCAACAATATTCTTCTCCTTTCTTCTCTGTTTCAATTGCTTCTCAGGATTGCTTTTGTTTCCTTGATGTACAAAGTGAAGAAACGAAAAGGGCTAATGCAGAATGCACAAAATTTTGCAACTGCCCAAATCCTTCAGGTGCTTGGATTAATTTTCAGGGGTATTTATCAGGAGGGAAATAAACCAATATCAATACCATATATATATATATATATATATGTTTTTTTTTGACTGGCTTACTTTGTTGCAATTTTTTCTTGAATTAATTATGTATAGTAATGAAAGGAAATCACAGACAATTAGGGTTTTGGACAACAACTTGCGGGGTGGGCTTGCCAATATGTGTGGTGGATTTATTTCTTAAAGAATACAAGAGGCGCGTTTCTTCGAAGGCATACAAAGTATAGTACTCTAATGTGTTAACTGGAATAACGGTCAAGTGTCAACCCCCTTCTTTTTTTCGTGTCTTTTCGGTCAGAGAAGGCTCAAACGCGGTCTTACTTATACGGCTTTACAGGTCAAAAACACAGTAGCAATTAGGAAACTGCATGTGCTTTTAGATATTTGATGAATTTGTTAAAGATCCAAGCAGATCTATGGAATCTTTTGATGGGTTTTTCTATTATTTGTTTTTGAGATTGCTGCGATTTGATATATGTAAGGTAAAAAGGTGATTGAAAAATATGTCACGGAAAACGTAGAGATTTTTTGGGTGAAAAATCCCTTGTTTGTCTAAGTGTTATTGGTGATATAATACTAACATCATGGTTAGCTTAAAATTGTTCATGTGAAAACGTCATTAAGAAGGATTAATTTCTGTTATCTTAATTAATGTATATTTGATGTTTCAAAAGTCCAAACGTTATATGTGCCTGTCTTTGCTGCTAGAAAGATAGAAATTTAGAATTAGAACTATCTTATGATGCTATGGTATGTGCTGGATCTCTTGATTTGTTGTGGTTAAATGGGTGTGTTGTGTTGGATCTATGGCAAAGAAAAGGTGAAAGAGTGATGATGTGATCTAATCTATGTCTAAAATATCTCAAGGTGGTGATAAGCGTTGTGTTCATTTTATATTCTTTTTCTTGGAAGGTTTTGCTCAACAATGTAGTTGATTTTCTAATCGGAAAAAAAGGTCATAGAGGTATTGCCACGTTTATCCATCTTTTTCAACTTCAACTTAGGACAATTTCAAGGAATTGATGAGAATAGTAGTATTATTCAATGTACTTCATTTTGGCCGAAATTTCCATTCGAGTTCCCTTATCAGCGGTCGTGATTAAGTCATGAGTTTGAGAATTTGAGGGTTTGGTCAACCATTCAAATTGAAGGCTAACTAACAATTTGTAATGTAAATTTGCAAACAAGATGAGTTGAGTGAATTTTGGATCTAATCAAATTAAGTTTCGACTTAATTTTATCAAATTCGGACTCGATCTCAAACTTGATGAATTCTCAATATAAGATCGAGTTCGAGCTCGACTTCAAATTCGAGTTGAGTTGAACTCGATCTCAAGTCTTCTTGATTTTAAAAAATAAAAAATTTAATTTTATTTTTTAAAAAATGAATAAAATAATAATTTTAATTAATATATTATAAAATATTACGAATATTATATTATATACACATATATATATATATATATAAATAAAACGGAGTGGCTTCTGGGTTAACGTTAGGTTTCAATATGTTGGACCTCGAATTGGAGTCGAATTTTGACGTAACCAATTTACTAACAATGATTCCTTTGGGGATAATGTTGGACCTCTCTCTCCTTTTAGTTTCTTCTGTTTCTTGGAGCATTGACGCTGTCTTTCTCTTTAATTATTGGTTTGATTTTTGTAGGTGGGATAATTTCATAAACCTCTCCTAAAATTTTTAATAATTTTACTAGACTTTTCTAAAGTTTGTAAAATTATACAAATCTCCCATAAGATTAAAATTTTGATAACAAAATTAGTTCAATTAAAAAAAGTAACATTAAGAAAGTATTTTAAGGATGGAGATGAAACTTTTATTTTATAAATACCGCTTATGCATATATATAAGTTATAGTAGTAAAAGAAAAAAATAATTAAAAATTAAAAATAATTATAACATATTTTACTATTCAAAAAATTTATATTTAATAAATTAAATAACATAAATAAATAATAAAATAATACTAATGATCACAAGATTTAATAAAACAGACTATTCCTCTCTTTTAAACATGATGTTTGCTATGATTTATGAATTTTAGGGAATGAATAATTCATCTCTTTACTATTCATCTCAGGGAGGTTTATGAATTTTACAAATTTTAGGGAAGGCCAGTGAAATTGTTAGAAATCTCAACGGAGGTATCTGAAATTACCCCTTTGAAGGTTCTTCAAAACATTGACTCTTCTCTCTCTCTCTCTCTCTCTCTCAATTTTTGGTTTGTTTTTTGAAGGTTATTGAAGATCCAGTCGTGATTCTGCTGTACTGTCTCTTTTGAAATCGTCCAAATCAATGCTTTGTAATTCCAATTAATCCCCATTTCCTTTTCTGGTTAATTTTTTTTTTTGTTGGTGAATTTTTATGTTAATCTCTTCTTTTTAACATATTAAACGAGGTTTTAATATGTGTAATTGACAGTACTTGAAAGCTGTCGTACGAGGTTTATTAGCACTACCTGAGGGTTAGTCGTTCATTGTTTTTTTTTAAATTTAAATATATAATTTAATTAACTTTTATCACTTAAACTTTTTGGTTATATGGGTGGATTTCAAAAGTTGCAATCTTTAATTGCTCTGTGCTCTTTATTTTATTTCTTGTTATTTTTGAAAAATTTATGAAGTGATTTGGGTTTTTGAAGGTTAATGATGTACAAGTAAAAGATAAAGTTGAAGGCTTGAGAAGTATCTTTAGTAGTAATTTGCAGGTTGAAAAGACTTGCGTTAGCACAGTTTAGCACCTGTACCTGTAAAAAGATGGTGCTTTTTTGAATACAGAACAAGGATGTTACTTGAGGACTCATTCTTACTCAACTTTCTATCTTCTGTTTCAATACTTTGCCTGCACTAGTGGTATAATAGCTTTATAGCTGAATGTTCGTCTGCCAATGCTTGCTTAACATTTTTTTTTTTTTTTTTTTTGTCTTTTCATTGTATTGGATTCTAAGTATGTTGGTTTTTGAAAGCAAATTTATAGGGAGGTAGTGAATGCACTTGGAGCTATAGCATTGGGAGCACCCATGATTCAGTATGTGACTTATCTGGTTATTTCCAGTCTATTTATGATGATTTTGAGAACTAGAGGTTAAATTTCAGGTTGGACAAAATGGTCTCTGTTCTATTCTATCCATGGTACAGCACAGCTCTTCCAGGTTACGGAGTATAGCAAATCGTAGAATATCTTGTCACTGAAATGGCTGAATAATAGTAACCATTACTATGATCAAATAGACGTGCAGAATAATACACATCCTGAGTAGCAAGCATGAAATGGAGTTCTTTTTTTTGGAAATTATAGTTCAGGATTATTTTGACACTTCACAACTATTTTGTGGAACAAATTGAGATAATTTTCACAGTTTTTATCGTGTCCTGGATCAGAGGTTTTATTCTGTGGTTAATTACAGGAACTTCAACAGGACCTCTACTGGTCTCTTCTGATGTCAGCACTTACTGTTAGGATTTCATATGACGTCTCATTTGCCATGCTGCCTCTCATGCTTCAGTGAACCCCTGGATCAAATGGGCTAGGTGGGAAATCTGTGCTGGAAATTAGTAACTTGATGTAAAATTTGCTTATTTTGTAAGTAATCATAGATAACCATCAAATTTTCCTCTGTGCAATAAAGATCTTAATCAGTCATTTCCTGGTCCGGAAAACTTCTTCTGCTGTTGACAGTGTGTCCCAGCGGCTTCTCTGTTTGGTTCTCCTTGGGCTTCCTGGCACTGGATATTTGCTCACACAAAGTAGCGTATGAGAATAATGTGATTTTGTTGGTTTTTTTTTTTTTATAATTTTCCTGACTTCATTCCCTTTTTGTTGTTCTAGCATTGACAAGTAATACTCATGTTATTCGACTTCTGCAATTCTTCGTAACTTTTTGTTAGGCCAAGTGGACCTGTAGAGTACATGATCTGTCTACCTGCTCATGGAGCTGTCATTGGAGCTTGGTTTGGCGCTTAACCAATGCCACTTGGCTGGGAAAGACCATGGCAGGTAGGCTTACCTTCCTATCTAATCCTGGTCATTTGAGACTTATATGAGTTATGCATTCCTTTTATCTACATAATTCATCTGGATATCTATGTGATTTTTTACCACTTTAATGACAAAACTTGATCTAGTACAGGCTTTTTTCCAAAGAATTTAAAATTGTCCAGTAAAATTCAAGTATTGGTTGCAGAGCGAAACTTGAAACAGTTATTCGTTTCTGGATACATATTGAAGTTTGTAACATTTGAAACTGTAGCCGAATGAAGTTGGCAAAAGGTGGCAGGTTTCAATTCTCTTTTTTCTTTCTTACTGTGTACATGAACAGTTGGTTTCGTCAAGAACTTAGTAGTAAGAGTGGCTCAGAAATAACTGACAACTTCAAGAGTTACCTGAGGTCTACCATCACATGGCCAAAAAATCTTTGAAATGATGTTCTCTTGTTACATTCTCTAAATTGACACAAAGTATGGAACTTGATATGTTAATGCAGCAGTATGATATAGTCAGGGTTCTGAGTTAACAATTCAACAATTGATGCTTAGCTTTCATGCTTAGATTGTTGTGTTGGCTCTGATATATTTGTTCACTTTGCCTTTTCATGTAAAGATGCCATATTAACATTGTCCTAGTACAAATATTACACCTTGCATGTGAAATTGTGCCTTGAAAAGCACCAGAGAGATGATGAGGGTTTACATAGTAGTCCTGATGTGGTTCTGATAATTCCGCGATGTAGTGATGTGTTGATCTACTGTTCCAAGTATAATCTCCTAGGACAGGTTAGTTGCAATGGTTTTGGTAAATGTAGTTGACCATGTATGTTTGAGCTCGGCAATTAGATTCTGAATGTTGGATGTCGTTCAGCCTTGGTTTGCAGCTTGTTGTTCAGTTTGTTATGCTTTGTACCCTGACACTGAGATGATTTGAAGTTGTTTGTAAGACTGGCCAATTTTTGTGAGCTATGGAGCTTTCGCTGGGTACTTTGTTGGGATGGTGGCAGCTTAGCTTTTGTTGTGTCCTCTTCTGAAATAATCCAAGGCATGTAAACTGAGAGACTAATGATGGAGAATTCGACATTAATCTTATTGAAGGTTGCTATCGATGACCATATTGATAGACCGAGTTGCATCCAACTGACCATAGGACCTCACCTGCTCAGTGGAAGTTTTGCAATTTTTTCCCAGTAACATTACAAAACTCACCCCTCCCATGAACTTCCCTTACCCACTTTTCTTTTTGCCCAGGCAATGCAATTTGCAGAAGCTTAGAAGTACCTTTGGTTCTCACTGGAAGTTCTTTCTTTACCTTTTTTCCCTTTAACTCTATTTCTTCAATTATGATCTGCTGGTGTCTTTAAATGGAAAATCCTTGTCTGATGCATGCTTACTTTGTAAATCATTCTGTCCAGTTTGTGAGGAAGAAGGATGTTGTTAGTGCTTAGAGATTAGTATACATGGCACATTCCTCAATTCGCTCTAGTGTAAAAGGCTTGAATCACTAAATCCTGGCTTTTGCTTACAGTTACAGGTGAAGATATTTCACAGCCATTGTTTATGTTTTGTCTTTAAATAAACTTTGGGCTGATGGACCCTTTATAGCTTTTAGGTTTTAACCCAGCCATGTGCATAGATTTCCACTTCTCATGGACTCGCTAGACTTGACAAGGAGAAGCAGACGCAAACGAGGTCATCAGTCATTACTCATCCCCTGTCACTTACTAAACCGTCTGAATTGGCGCTTTCACCACCTGGGCCGAAAGTGAGATCAGATATCCGATCTTTCGAACAAAATGAATGTAAACGGGTCTAATCGGTCTAGTTTCACTCTCAAACTCTTTAATTTATTTTTTTAAGAGGAGAATCTACACCTTACAAGAAAAAATGAAAACAAAGAGTTTGGAGTCGAATATGAGATTTTAGGACCTTTCTCCATCTCTTATGAATTTATAGTTTCTTTAATCCGAAATACAAAAGCTAGTCTATAGTGAGTTGTGTATGCTATATCTTAAATGTTAAAAATATATTCTCCCAAGGAAAACTAACAAAGAAGCAAATGGTAGTCACATAATATTTAATCAACTATTCAAAATAAAAATAGAAAGAAGAATGTTAGTTACTTGTTATTTGGTATATACTTTTAAATATTAACTAATCAAAAATTCTGGTTTGCTAATATTGTTTAAATTGTTAAATTTCTGGTTTATAGGGGTGACAATTGGGTCCAAATTGGTTGGCGGGTCGGGTTGAGACCGGGTATAATAGAAATCCGTTGACCCGAATCTGATCCGTCATCCAAAATGGTCAGGATATCTGACCCGAACTCGAAAATTTTGGGTTGGCGGTCTATCTGAAATTTAATTTTAATTTATTAATTTATCAGTGTAATTTCTAATAAAACAATTTCACACAAGACTAATTACATAATAAGTAATAAAATTTTAAATAAATAATCAAATCAAATTTAAAATAAATTGAAACACCGTAAAATGTTTTATCCCAAATTAAATATAAAATAAATTAAAGTATAAAAGTAAAAAATAATATAATACATTATTTGTCTAAATATAATAATTTCAATTCACACAAGTTAAATAAATTTATTTAAGATTAAGTGATTAATGTCTTTGGAAAAAAAGAATACTTAGTTTGTTAGATAAAATAATTTTTATGTTTATTAAATAATTTTTAATTTGTAAACGGGTTATCAGGTCATATTGATCACCCACGGGTTGATCCGAATTCGACCCGTTTTCTTTTCGGGTTCATCGAGTTCAACCCGAACTTGCGAAATTCAACCAAACCCATTAATTTCGTGTTGGATTCGTGTCCTGTTTTCAGGTCGTGTCAGAAATTGCTATCTAGTTATCCATGCTTTTGACTATGATAGTTATATAGTACAAAATCATGAATTTCCTATTAGTGAATACATATGTAAATAAAATGAGAACGAAATTGTAAATAAAAGAATACTAAAATGTTATAATAAGCATACAATCAGTAATACTAATAGGAAAGTAAAAAAAAAATAGTGACATTCGAGAAGTGAAAAAATAAAAAGAAAAATAAATATCAAAAAAGAAAAATAAAGGATGAATAAATAAGGAGAAAATTAAAATAATATAGTAAGGGCACTTTTATTCTAAAACATCAAGCAGGAAAGTAAAGTACCTATTTAATGAGTTTAGGGAAGTTAAAGTGCAATGAAGGCAAAAGTCTCAAGGAGGTTTAGTACATTAATCCATTTCAAAAAATGCCCATCACTTTTGACCCAATAAATGTACAAACTCCTGCCCAGTTGGTAGGTTATGAACCAATGTAGACAATATGACATTCAACATAGCTCATTGGTTGCTCAGTGATTAAGACATATCGCTAGCCTAGCCACTAGCATGAAGGTGATAAAATACACATTTTGTAAATGGTTTCTATACATTTTTTTTTCTTGATTCCTTTTTCAAGATCGCCAAACACTTCTGATAGTATGGATGGAGTTTCTGCTTGGGAGTTTGTGGTTTTTAAAATCTAAAAGGACGGAATTTGATATCCATCAAAGCCATTTTTTCTGACATGAAGTTGTCAGTATCAGGGTCCTGTGGTTCAAGATCTGGTTTACAGGGTCTTTCCTCACATGACTTTGTCTTTTTTTCCCTTTTGAAGGTAATGGATAATCATCATCAAAATGATATTCCCACCAACAGTCATCACATTTAGTACATATATCAAAATAAATATGTCCAGAAATAGGATCTTGAAAATGACATACTGGTTCACTTTCCTTAGTGAAATGAGCAATAATATTTGGCAAAACCTTTTTCTCAGTTTTCATCATATCTTTCAAGAGCTATTTCTTCTTCAGTTAGTGTCTCCATGGAAACCTGTGCAAACATCATAGTAGGATAAGATTTTTTTGAATTTGGTTTTAAATGGGAATGATCAAAAGTAATTGAAATTCTCCCTTCTTGTGTCTGAGAGATTTTTGAGTTTCAAAACTCAATAGGTTCATTTGCTTGAGAATGCAGGGACTCATAATCAGTAATCCAATTGTCTGGTAACAATTGAATTAATTCTAATTTTGAAATTTGTCTTGGCATATGGGTATAAGAGGCTGAATTCTTCTCATTAATACGGATAAAAAGAGCATCTTCTCCACCAGGAATTGTGAGATCCAGAATATGATTTTGGATACGATAAACCATCTGATAGTGGAGGGTTGCAGCAATAGCATCTGTCATCTGGTCTGCTCCTATGATTTGTACCTGGACTTTAAGAGCATCAAGCAAATGGGGATCTGACAGAGACATGTTAAAATTGGAGAAAAGAGTCACAAAAACAGTTCCAACATTTAGAGTAGTTTCTACGGTTGCTATACAAGCATGCTGGTATTTTGTGAATCTGGTGTCAAACAAGGCTATGCGAGCCACCATTGGTAGCTCCTTTCTACTATGAAAGGATAAAAAGAATCTAATTGCACCAAAATGAATATGAGTAAATCCTTATTGCTTCCATTGAGAAGGAAATTCTGGAGGAATTTAGAGAGTAATGAACTATTCCTTCTTAGTAACAAGGATAAGATGTTGATCCACTTTTGAAGCCTGAATATATTCTTTTATGCCTTGGGATAATGCTTGATCAGGGATTTGATAGCCCTGATAGGTGAGAATTGTTGTTTGCCAAATGTAGTATATGGATTAATAACATGCAAAGAGGTAGGATTAACCATCTCTGGTTCAACAGACACTTCATACAAATAATCGAATTTATTACTATTAGTTCTATTTAATATAAGTTTACTGAAGTAGAATCACTCATTTTAGAAATAAAAGAACTCATATTTTTAATTTATTAAAATCTTTCTCACCATTTATCTTATAAATACGATACCATAACATATATATATATATATATATACCTGTCTTCTAACTATCTGGTATGATTTAGAATGCAAATAATCTAGTAATTAAAACTTTCTAACTTAAGTACTCTTATGTAATCTATATATTCTCGCTTATTATAATATTCAAACATAAAACATGGAGAACCTCTACAAACATCATTAAACATAATTATATTAATTTCCTGAATGTGGATCAAAGTGGTGTCATGAACCTATAAAAAGTATAGAAAGAAATTTTAATATTGAAAATTTGGATGAGAAATTTTCCTTTTAGGTATGGCTCTGATACCAAACTCAGAGTAGCCAACTCTAAATTTTAAAGGTATTCTCAAACACAATAGCCTCTCTCTCTTGAACTTTCAAAAGTTCAAGAGACTTTTATCAAAAGATCATAGTGATTACCTTCATAAGGATCTCGGCCTTGTTAAAGGGAAAATAAAAAGTTTAAGCCACCATAACTTTGGGAAATTGTTAGAAATTTTATTGGGTTTCTCAATCTTTTCTTCGATGATCCTTCCAAATGGTAAGAGTCATCTATTTATACAAACTAAAGTAACCTTTTGGACACTTGACCTTTCAGAAATCAAATAGTAAAATGACTTTTGGTGAAAGGTAATAGACAACCTTTCAAGAATTCAAAAGACAAACAACCTTTCAGAAAAATAAAAGACAAATGACCTTTTAGAAAAGTAAAGGTTACAGATAAAGTTACAGACAACCTTTATTATTAGGACCTATTATTGTCTAAACGTCCCAAATCCACTGGTAGTTTTCATCAGGGGTATCCGAGGGAGTGGTGTCAGGATCAGTGATGTTGTACAGCTCAACTCATGTGCTTCTCAATTTTTCCTTTTATTCAATTGTCTTTTTTCTTTTGATCTTGTTTATGAACATAAGAAGATGAAGAGGGTCCAACTTCTGATTGCCTTTTAACTTTAGTCCAATGAAGATGACTAGTTTCATAGTTCCATGAACCATAATGTCTTTTGGCCAAATCTCAGGTGGAATGCATCTGTTTTTCTAAAATATATATCTCTGAACTTCCTCATAATCAAGATCTAAGATAGTA